AGAGAGTAATTAACCCAAGTCACTGATAAATTAATATGGTCCGGGGCAAATAAGAATATGTGAATAAATCTGCTCTTAGTATTTCTTAGGACTAGGTCATGAAAATACTTTCCAATTTCAGTCCTTTACTTTCTAGTTGAATCTTGCTGCTGGCAGAACACAGGTGAGTCCTCTTTGCCTTGTTTCAAAGCCCTGTCTCCAATGATGTAAAAATGTCTGATTATAACTCTCTTTCCCACATCAGTTATTGGTGTCTTTTACTGTTGCTGTTGATTGTTTCTGACATAGACATCCAGGACAATGATATTCACTCCCGGCCAGTGGGAGGTGGCTGGTGGTCGTGTGTGCCAATCGTAGCACTGGCAGCCTGATGTCGTGGCTGCAGAACCCGGGGTAGCACGTCCCCAGCCTTCCCAGACGCTGGATTCCAGAGCTCCCACTGCTCTTCTTTTATATTCCTACAGCACCTGTCACTTAATAACTTACTACATATTTTTTCTTCCTTACATTAATTCTTTTTTTTTTTTCCTTTTTGTCTTTTTTCGTGTCCGGCAACGGATCGCAACCCTCAGTGTCACGCCCGTACCGGACCAGGACTGGCAACGGGATCGCAACCCTCAGCATCGCGCCCACACCTCGCTCAGCCAGTGAGTGGGAACCGGTCTGTACATGGGATCCGAACCCTCGGCGGGAGTGCCGCCACACTCCCAAGCAGCGCACTGTAGCAGTGCGCCACCGGGCCGGCCCCCTTCCTTACATTAATTCTAATAAAGGCTTCATGTTGACTCATTTCATTGTAGGTCTGTTCACTGATGTAAACACTATGTAAAGTAGCCTCTGAGCCATATGAGATGTTCAATAAATATTTATTAATGCAATAAAACTACGTAATACCATGGCTTTCCTTATACTTTTCTACCTCTTTCTTGTCTTTCTCACTCAACATAGTACTTCTTTCCCTCCAAGTTTAATTTTCCAAAAGTAGTCATGAAGAGGATTTACATGTTGCGGAAACAAGAATTTCATGGTAGCCAAGTTTCCAACATAGCCATGGATTTAAATTCTTTCACATATTAAAGCCCCAATGTCCTCTACTCATCTCCCATCAAGAATTGCCTGTTCTTAGGTTTCACATAATATTTTCTTTCAGCTATGTCACTGTTATTGTAAAACTTTATTAGTTAACAATAACTTTCTGCAATTTTCTTACTCCACTGTTTTTCACAGATAATCTCCAGTCTCTTTGCAGACACTGGCACTTCACTTACAAGTGAAATGATAATCTCTTCCCAGCAAGGCGGTGAGATCTTGGAATCCCAAACCTTTACTTCATGGTTCAGATGCTTACATTCCCCACCTGCATGGCGTCCATCACTGCAGCCACGTCCTGGCTGTAAATGTCAACTTGGTTAGATACCACTATTCCTAGATAAATATCACCTTCTTTGAAGAAATAGACAATATCTCAGAGTATGCAATGAGAAATATTATACGGAAAAACAATTCTGCCTGATGGAGTTGCAACAAACGTACTGACCAAGGAAGAAAGGATATATTCTAAGGTACCCAAAGGCAAGGTGTCACATGGTGGCCTTGTTTTAAGGGCTGCCTCACCTCTGTCCTGCATGTCTCCTTTTATAATCTATCTGAATTAATCTCCTCTCATTGCTGACCAAACACAACAAACTGCACAATGTCCATACTAAAAAGTTTGCTCTGCATGAAGCGAAGAGGAATGACAGTGTGTTCACTCAGAGCTTCTTAGTGGACATTTATTGTTTTGTGTGCTTTGTTTTTTT